AGGTGATATCAGTCTCATGACAGATTAGGAAAGAAACTCAGAGAGGCGAAGCGACTTGATCAAGTTCATGCAAATTCTCAGTGGCAGAGCCAGGATTTGAATCCAAAACAAGATGACTCCAGGGCCGACAATCTGAACCATTTCACCATCCCACTGGCCTTATATGATTAACATGAAGGCATTGTCCACTTTGAAATGGTTTAAGAGAGCCCCACACTGTATGAACTCAGATTGTTCATAATTGAGGGATTCCATTGCTCTTACCCAAGAGTTTCTGGAGTGAGAATGCAGGTAACATAAAATGAGAACTCAATAAATAGGACCTAGGAGTCATAACGAGTAAATATCTTAAAGCCCATACAGCTCATCTATAGTTGATAATATAGAGTTCTAGTAACTAGCATGATGAAAATCACTTAATTGAATTCCCTTAAGGGAACCATTTTAATGAAGAGGTTAAACTCTTTGTTAAGGTCTGCATGATCAATCACATATAAATGTATGTTTTTAATCTAAGGACTTTTCAAATTCATTATATTTATAAAAATAATTGCTGTTTATAAATGTAACACATTCTCATTATAGGAAACTCAGAAATGTCAGAGAAGTACAAAGGAAAAAAAATTCTTGGAAAATGTTGCTGCGTGCATTGAAGTATCGAGACCACCAGCACAGTGGAAAGGATGCTGAAGTGATGGCCAAGAGCCCTAGGTTCTAATCCTGACTGGCCCAGAGGCTAGTCCAGTGACTTGGCCAAATGTCTTCATTCTCTGAGCTTGCATTTCCCTTTCTGAAATGTGAAGCTGGGAAGATCTGAACTAGATGATCTTTAAGAGCTTTTTCTGCTCTGATGTGAAACAGAATTCTATTTTAGACATTTTGTCAGCACTTATGTTTACACTTTCCATTTCTTTGGCAAATACCTGCCATGAATGTAAGAAACTTTCTTCCAGTCTTCAGCAGAGCCATCATTATTCTAAATGAACTCAGCCTGAATTCATGAAAATTACGATATATTTATCTACTCACTAATTCGTCCATCCATTCATTCATTCAACAAAGGAGTGACCTACCCTGCATTGGGCACTATAATAATTTCTAGGATATGGAGATGATTAAGAAAAGGTTTCTGCAATCAAGAAACTTCCAGTTTAGTGGGGAAAACAGGCAAATAAAAAAAATTGTTTCCCTATCCCATTAGCATAGGCATCACTGTTGTGAAATATATCCCCTCATTTATTTAGGTACCAGGCGGTACAACAGGCACTGGATACGACGGTGAGCAAGATGGGCACAATTCCTTCCTGCAAGGAGCTTCTGCAGTGACAGGAGTAAGGGACCCTGGGAGTTCACAGTCAGCATGTGGAAACCATGTCAATGTGCGACCCTGGAGAGCTGTTCTTTGACTGCCTGGCTACCCCGGGTATCCAGAGGCAAGATATAGGAAAAGATTCACCGAGGGAAGGGGTTAATCCTCAGCTTGGGCTGTCAGAGGCTTGCATCTGGCAAGAAGGAAATGCTTGGTTGCAAATAGTGGAGAGTTAGCTGAGCCAGCAAAATGAGAAACGGCAGTCAATAAAGCCAATAGCAATGGCATTGATGGAAATCTTGCTGGAGATACCGGGTCCCATTGCTAAGAGTAATCACAGCTAAGGCTAAGACAGTGTCCAGAAAGCAGAGATTAGGGATTCGGAAAGGCAGTGCAAATGACTGACTCTCACTGGTGCTCAGAGTTGATGAACACCTACTCCGACCTTCCATTTTGCAGATGGGGAAACTAAGACCCAACAAGGACAAAATTACTTATCTAGTGCCCCTGGAGTTAATGTGTTAGCATATATCAGAACCCAGTGGCCATTTTGGAATGAAAGGAAAAGAGGGGGAAACTAAAGTATTGAGCATCTACTCATTGTCTACTTGGGCCATGAGCTTTATTCTTTGCTACTTCAATTTATTCTTACATCAGCTCTGTGAGATTGATATTACTATCATTCCCATTCATCTGATGAGAAAACTGAGACCGAAACAGGTAACTTCCCCAAGACCACACACCTAGGGAGAGAGAAAATGAGGATTGGAACCCCGGTCTGTCTGCCTCCAGCACGCATGCTCTTTTCCCTCTACTTCACAGAAGGCAGCCTTCTGGGGGCCTCCAGGGTGGATGGCTCTCATTTTCAAAATGCATATTTGTTGCATAATAAGCATCAGTAATTAATGATCCATTCCAGGGCAGGTGAAACTTGCCTAGTAAGCACACAAGAGATGAAGAGAAAAATATAACAGCGCCCTTTTTCTCCATAGATTTCTCATTCTCATTCATATTCCCAAAAAGAGGGAAAGGAGGAAGATGACCTGTGCCCTTTCCTGCAGAGTTACTGATAGGAGAGACAGGAACCTCGGCTCTTGCCCTTTCCATAAAGAAGAAAGAGCCCCTTTTCCCACCCCTCCTTGCCCACCACAGCCTGACTTCCTGTCTCTTTGCCGGAGGTAACCATTTTACCTCTCCCATTATGAATCATGAGGCCTGTGGCTTGTGGCAGATCATAAATCAGTCCTGGAGTCTCGAGGACAAATCCCAGGACTTTTAATCTTGAATATTAGACGTGTTTAAAGTGGTGAATATTTCATGAAGGGACTGTTGCATTTTAACACATCGGTAGTGACTCCTATCCTTCCCCACTTTGGTAAATTATTCTCATCCAAATCGCAGGGATCTCGGCCCGTGACCTCCATTTTCCTTACCTTCGGCAACAGTCAGTCCATTAGGTTGCACATACTTACAGCACACGCATTTGGTGGAAGACCCCGGGCATGCTATTGGAGGGGACATATAATGAAAGCATTCCTGCCTCCCTCCTATTTACCAGGTATCCAGAGAAAAGGAAAGGTAGATCTCTCTCTCTCTTTCAACAATCTTATTCTGAATATTTTGAATACTATCTCCGACCCATTCTGCACTCCATATTCTGTCTTACTACCATTTTAGTTCAACCAACATTTATTAAGCCCAGGCTGTTTGCCAGATACTTGCTACTGCCGGAGGTACAAAGATGAAGCAGCATTGTAATGTATAAAACAAGGTAGAGTGCGTTTTTAACACTCGGAATGCCTTGTATAAGGTCAAATGCTTAACATTTATAGGGAATCAGTGAAAACAATAAGGTTATTTGATGAATACAAACATTTTGAAATCAGAAATTATAGATGGTAGTTCTATATCCTGTGCTGTCTAGCATCATACTCATCGCTGTGTTTTGTTCTGGTAGTACAAGGTTGAAAAAATCCTGATTCACAACACATGTAATTGCAAAAACCATAAGCTTGTTAACACCTCGACTCACAGCCTCAGTATCCTCCTCAGTGAAACAAAGATGACAGAAGTTTTTTTTTTTTAATGAGGCCTGCATAAGTTTATCTGGCAACCGGAGGTCATGTGAAAATGCTCCCTAACGTCCTAAATTCTAGCAAGTAACATCTGAGTGTTTAGCCTTCATTTTTTCCAGTAAAGAGATTTGAAAATGAAAATTATCTAAAAGTTGCAGAGTCCCTAAATCTCCCCCATGGAACTATACATTTCTGTGAACCCTGGCTTGGAAATTCTCGAGTCAGGTCAATCAGAATCACTGTAGGATTGAAGAGTTGCAGGTTCCTCTGAGAGTGTGCATGAGTGTGATCGCCAGATGAGAAAGAAGGCAACCTGCCAGCAAAAGTCTGGAAGTTTATGAGCCATTGCAGATGGTTAACTATTCGTTCAACTCACAATGTTGAGTACTTACTCTGTTCTATGCAGTGGGCTAAGCCAGGGTAGTTCCTACCAGCACTTCCAAAAGTCCAAAAGAACACTAATCTAGTGGCTTGTTCCACCACCAAGACTCCTTGTCAACAAGACAAGATGAAGTAAGTTTGGGGAACACTGTGTAAGTATCACTCTCATGAAGAATCACACACCACTAGCTCTAATGAATAGTACAGTGTTTCCCTTTTTGTTTTTTTAATCAAATCTATTTTTGGTAAAGCATCTGTGAACATTCCACAAATACACTCTAAGAAAAACAATAACTAATTGAATCAAAAAATATTCCCTGACCTTAAGGAATGTACAGTGAAGCAAATCTGATAACAGCAATAGGGTAAGGCACAGAACTTCTGAAAACCCTTCCAAGATTCTGAACTCTGAAGATATACTAGGAAGTAAAACATGTGCTAGCCACCCAAAATAAGCTTGGCCAACGGAAGAATATACTTAAGGCAGTGTGGAACGCTAGCAAGAATTCATGCAACCAGGTGTAAGATGTGGCCAGGAAAAAATGATGCATGCATGCATGGATGGGTAGAAGGATGGATGGGTGGGTGGGTGGATGGATGGATGGATGATGGATAGGTAGATGGAAAGGAAGAGAACAAGAGACAAAAGGAGGAGAGGAGAGGGGAGGAGAGGAACCAACCAATACAAACAACAACAACAAAACAAAACAAAATCTGGGAATGATAAATGAAAACAAATTTTCCAAAAGCGGAAATCAAAGGTATCTTCAAGGAGGTGGCATTTCATTTGGGGCTTATGGATGAGCATGAATTGTTTGCTAAGGTGAAGAAAATTCAATTTTATGATTGTACTTTTAGTGCAAACGTACTTTATCATAATTTAAATATTTGAAATTAGGACCTCCATTCGTACCACGAGGTCACTTCCTGTTTCCCTCATTAAGTCATGAGCTCCTTCTGCATCTGGGTTGCACCTTTGATCTCTGCATCCCCAGTGCCCAGCAGAGAGCCTGACAGGGAGTATGGTCAGAAGTTGTTGAATGGATAAGTGAGTGAATGAACAAATGAATAAACTATTAACCACAGTGACAGGTAGACCAGAACACCCTCATTCCATGAGCCTTTTCTAAATCTAGGCAGCTCACTTTATTTTCTAAGGAAACAAGGTAACCAGGGTAGAAACCTAATTTGGGCAGGCAGTATTTCACAAGACTCTTTTCTCTTTTTGCTTACAGGAGAGTGCAGCTGTCATGAAGGCTATGCCCCAGACCCAGTTCACAGACACCTGTGTGTGCGCAGTGACTGGGGACAGAGTGAAGGGTGAGTGGCAAAGGACACTGGGGCAGGGGCAGTGGAGGACTATTCCCATCTCCTCTGTTCTATTACCAGAGGCCCAAAATCCCTCCACAAAGAGGCTTCTTTCTTTGCAACAGTTGCATTCCTGCAAAACCCGTTGGGAAGTGAATCCCATTTCCCACCAAGTCACATTTTAGCATTAAAGGTACATGACTGATGAATATTCTAGAGAACAAAGGCTGAAGTTTAATTCACCCTTCCAAACTGTAGGTAATCAATGAACACTTCCTAAGTGGATTGATAAAGAAAGAGAATCAGATTTTTTTGCATAAACTCGAGAACAGACAAGTAGACTTGAAAGTGTTGTCTTTCTGTGAAATGGAGTCATTCTTTTATAACATAAATAGTCTTGCCAAAAATTACTTCTGCAAAATTTGGTTGCTTGTAAAGCTACTCTTAAGCAGTGTCCATATATGAATCTCACCTGCTTCTGTCTAATACCATTTCCTTTCCCCTTTCTTTTCCCTCCCTCTGTTCTTCCCACAGACCTTGGCCTTACACTACACTTGAGAGGGGCTATGACCTAGTGACGGGGGAGCAAGCCCCTGAAAAGATTCTCAGGTGAGTTCACAATCCTGTTGGGGTATGATGCTGGGGAATGGAGACGGGTCTCATAGGAAGGTGAAGTCAAGCATCCTTAGTCGATTGAGCCTGTGAATCTGGAGGCTGCAGTGAGTGCAGAGGAACTCTCATTGGCATGAATGTACCATCATGGCCCAGGTTGCTATGGGAATCTAATTGCCGCTTGTCTGGCATCTAGACTTACAGACTCAGGTATTTGAACTGGAGGAGACATTACTGATCGTCTAGTCCAGTGATTAGAAATACTCTATAGGCATAGAACCTCTTCCTACCACCTCCATGAAATCTTGTGTGAAACTTCAATACTTAAGCTGATGAAGACATACAGCCAATTAAGTGCAGAAGTGGGAATCAGATTTTGGTTCAAATTGATTCAGAGTCCATGCTGTTAACCTTTGTGCAGACTGCCCCTGCTGACTTAGCAGTTGCATATGGAACTCCTGCTGGCTAGCAGGACTGCCTGCGAAAGCAGAGCTGAAATAGTCCCTGTCCTCACAGAGCCCACTGTTTAGTGAGTGTCAGGACCTGTCCTCAAGAAAAGAGAACTAGCGATACAAAGCAACACATGGGCTAAATGATTAACAGATTTAAGCAATGACCATCCAAGTCTGGGCAAAGGTGGCCAGAATTGTGCCTTGGAGGATGCAGGGGACTCAGTTGGGGAGGGGAGTGAGAAAGGGTCCTAGAAGGGATGGAAGGAAGGGATGGAAGGAAGGGACCCCTTTTTTCTGTTTTTATTCTGCCTCCCAGGGAGTTCCCCAATGGAAACTCTTACATTGCAGGTCTACTTTCAGCTTGGGCCAAGGACTCTGGCTTCCTGTCAGCAAAAGCTTTGTGGTTCCTCCCGTGGAGCTGTCGATCAACCCCCTGGCCAGCTGCAAGACGGACGTGCTCGTCACGGAAGACCCTGCAGATGTCAGGTAGGGAAGTCATCTCCAGCATCCCGTACCAAGGACTTCTTGGAGCAATGGAATCCATTCTGTTTTAGGATCACAGGAACTCCTGGGAAGAAATGCTCTCCATATTGTTGAAGGAGGCACCTGCCTGGTAGATGATGTAAAGAACACTGTCACATATGCCATGCTCCATACCCCTCAAAGTGTCCTACCTTGGTGGGCCTCAATGCCTTATATTTCAGCAGTATTACATTCATTTGGGGTTTATATAAAATGTGACAGAGACTAACACGTTATCTGGCTCATCATGGGATCATTAATGATCTTGTCTTATAAAAGACCAGTATTGAATAGTATAATAGAGAATCATGAAAATGAAAGATCGCAGAATGAGATGCTTTCTATTGTGACGCTGGTACTGCGAACAGACTGGGGGCTAATCCATAGCTTCTAAACGTCCAGGTCAAACTTATTTGTTCTTTATTCATGAAAGGATGGAGACTACATCTTGCCTTACACGTTTTGCACCTTGTAGTTCACTTCATTATAGTCTTAACTCTACTGCCTTCTAATTAATTGCTTACATATCATTCTGTCCTATTTTGTGGTGAACTTCTCAAGGTCAAAGAAAATAATTTATTTAGCTTTTTAATCCCCAGTTCCTAGTACGTCTTGGACATCTACTAAATGTTTATTGATTTAATTAAACCAGTGGTCTTAGATCTGATCCTAGCACTATTCTGGAGCTTTCTGCTGGAGGTTTTTGTTTTTGTTTTTTCCTCCCAATTTGACTAGGGGAAGCATTCTAGAAATTTAAGTGTTACCAAAAATGGTCCATTTTACTTTTTGAACTGGCTTGTACACAGCTTATTGGCTCCTGTACTGGAATTTGGAGTCATGCCCCACCCTTCTACTCCCAGTGATTGTTATTCTATGACTATATAGCTGGCTTTGGGTCATTCTGAATCAAGATGTTATCAGTATGTCCGCGGCATTCCTTGATAGGAAGCTCCTAGAACCCAACTCTACTGCTTTGCAGTTTGTTTATTCTCACCTTCTCAACTTTTCATGGAGGGATGCACCTAACATGATTTTTCAGGCTACTGATATTTCCCCAAAGAGGTAGTTTTAAAAAGAATTCATTATTAAAGCGATGGCACTTAGAAAATGAAATGGTAATTACTAAGAACTAAGATGATTTCATGCACACAAAAATTGATTCATGGTAGATTACCATTATTTCTATTTTTTTTTCCTGAGGAAGATTAGCCCTGAGCTAACAGCTGCCACCAATCTTCCTCTTTTTTTCTGAGGAAGACTGGCCCTGAGCTAACACTTGTGCCCATCTTCCTCTACTTTATATGTGAGACACCTGCCACAGCATGGCTTGACAATGATGCGTAGGTCCGCACCTGGGATCTGAATCGGCAAACCCTGGGCCGCTGAAGTGGAACTTGTGAACTTAACTGCTGCACCACCAGGCCACACCGACCCCCCCACCCCGCCATTATTTCCATTTTTGATAGACTTCAAGTAGATGAGACTTCAGTAAAGCATGTGCTAAAGTTTCTCTGCATTACATATTTTAAAGATGGAGCAAAGACCATCTGGCTGAAGGACTATTCTCAAAGAGACCTAATGACCTTGACTGAAATCAACTGAAAGAATGTCTCTACTAGGTTTCCTCAGAGTTCCCTACTGTTGACATTGAATGTGTGATGTCAGTGAAGCTATAGATGATAGACTGGCCGATGGTAACACTCACTCTGCAGTTGAACAGGTCTGGGTTAGAATCCCATCTCTACCAAGTATGGGCTATGTGATCCTGGCCAAATTCAACTTGCTAACTTTCCATTTCTTTGCAAAATGAGGAAAATAACAATGCCTTCCTCACAGAGTGTAACAATAATAACTCTTTTTCATTAAGCATTTCCTCCATGGCAAACACTTTAATAACAGTATCTTGTTATATCCTTACATCAACTCCATAAGGTGATGCTATTATTATTTTCATTGTACAGATTTAAAAAAAAAATCTGAGACATGAAGGTGATGCCTTCACTAGTAAGCGATGAAGCCAAGCTTCAACCCATGATCTCTCTAGCTCCAGAAGCCATGTTTTTAACTATTTCATTGAAATACCTCCCAAGAGTTGTTGTAATGATTAAATAATATAAGATATGTAAACACTGGTACCTAATATACTCCCAGTGCTACATTACACGAATTTTAGATGAATTGAATTCCCATTACAGTAGAGTTCAAATAGAAACTGGTGATGGTGGGGAAGACAGAGCTGGGAAGGTTGTGTACTATGTCATGCTGTTAAAAATGACTGTGAGCCACAGGATGACTCAGTTGTCTTTTCTGCTCCAATCTGAATTATATTAAATTGCAAGCCAGCCAAGGAAAGTCCCAAATATCAACCCACAGGGAGTCCAATACAACTGCCTTAGAAATGCAAAAAAATAATAAGGAAAGTATAAGTACTAGCATGAATTTCAGGGAGAGTATTGTATGCCGTTGGAAGGAACACTGCAATAAGTTGAAAGAGCTGAGACCTTCAAGAAGCATGAGCCAACACCAATTAGCTGCTTCTGATCTCCTGCTAAGAATGCTGTGCCTGGTTACATGGAGAGTGTGCTTTTACCAAAGTGGGACCAGAGCAGAGTTGCTCAGGCTGGGAGAGAGGATGATATTCTGCAGCTATGGATCCTCCTTCTCAACCCTTTCTCCAGAAACCACTAAGCTTCTCCTTTAAGGAAGAGTTGTACAAATAGTTGAAGAATATCAGTTTGGTTAGGGCACTAAATTATTATCCCTCTTGCGGTGCCCACATGCTTTTGTCTTGGCTTGGAGTAGTCACAGACAGCCTTTGAAGTCTACCTTTCACCTAACCTCACACTTGCCCATTGGTTTCACTGAAGGGTGGATAAAAGATTGCAATCATCCCCATCCAAAAGAATCCGTGCTTTTAGGTAGGTTGGGTTTTCCAAGCTGCACTAATAAACCTTGTTTGACATGACATTGCCCAGGCAAGCATGTCATGGGTGTTTAAAGAATTAATAAGTTCCAGGGAGATGATATGTTAGAAATTAATAAATAATAGATCATAATTATAGATAGCCAATAATATGCCATAGAATCACCACAGAGACATTAGAGTGTGGAAAAGCAGAGTCAGAAAGAAAAAGATAAGCAGTCCAGAAGAATTGGAAAGAAAGCTTAAAGGTACTTTGCTGGTTGATTTTTTTGTTTTTTAGTCTGTGACAAATTATTAAGGAAATATGGCATCTCATACTATGGAAAGCAGAACAATTTAGCAATCAACTGTACAGGTCTACCCACCTGGGTAGCTAAATTTAAAACAGCTGAGGATAACAAATGGTAGTGGATATGGAACAATTGAAGCTCTCATGTTTTCATGGTGGGAATGTAAGTTAGCATGACCACTCTGTAAATCTGTTGGGCAGTATCTACTAAAGTTGTGACTGAATGTCCATATATGCTATGACCCATTACTTCCACTTCTAATAATATATCTAACAGAAATGTGTATATCTCTACCACAGGTAATACAATCAAGAATGCTAATAGTAGCGTTCATTTGTACTGCCAAAAAGCTTGGGAGAAAACTCACAAATGCCCATCAACAACAAAAAAAGTAGATAAACGAATTATGGAATAATCATACAATGGAATACTGTTAATGATGAATATTAATGGACACAACTACACACATCACCATTGATGAATCTCCCAAATATAATATTGTTACAGAAGACACAAAAGACACAAAGAAATATATATGTTTATATAAAGATCAAAACCAGTAAAAACTAACCCATGATTAGTGGAAAAAAAAGATAGGAATTACCTTTGGGTGACAGAGAGGGCAGTGACTTGGAGGAAGCACAAGGTGATTTATGCGTCGCTAATAGTATTTGATTTGTCGATCTAGGTGGTGGTTACATGGGTGTTTGCAATCTGTAAAAATTCATCAAGCTTTATAGATAGGATTTACACACTTCTGTATGTATGCTTTGTTTTTATTAAACACAAAGCTTATTATGTAAAGTAGTTCATTTTTTAAAAGCATAAGCTATGGAGCCCAACTGAACTGTGAGTTCAAATCCCAGCTCCACTTCTTGTGGGTTACATGAGCTTTTCTGTAGTTGTTTTCCTCCTTGTGGATAATGCAGATAGAAGACTATACCATTAAGGGAGTGGTGAGAGTTAAATGGTGTAATACTTTGCAAAGCACTGAGTTTGGTACACCGTGAATTCTCTAGAAGCACTAGGTATTATGTTCGTTATTATGGTAGCATATTTTTGTTCTCTGTCTCTTTTTAATTCTCTTTTTCTAAAAGGCTACATCTAATCTATGATGCCTCTCCAAATCAATGGTGTCTTAGTATTGAGAGCTCACATTTGTCCCTCTGTCACGGGGTTGGGGAAGACTGAAATGAACTTACAAAGTCTAGTTCAGTGTGGTAAGTCTGGTGGCGTTATGTACATGGAAATATTTGCAGAACGAATGAAGGGGCACATATGTGGTACACATAGAGTGCCTTGAGGGGGTTGAAAAAGGAAAAAAAAAAATTCCTGACCAAAGGAATTAGGAAAGTATTTGCAGGAGACAGAAAATTAGCAATTAGCCTTGGATTGTGGATAGAATTTCACTGCGTGGAATGTAAGTCACGAGGGAAAGCTTTCAAATCTGAGAGGCTGGAGGGCCAAAGAGGAGAACTCTCCCCAGACAGCTCCCATTCTCCAGCCTATCCTGGCAGGAAGCTGCTGGGAATGAGATTTTTAGCATTTGAGACACTAATGATGTCAGCTACAAAGGTGGAGGAGAGAGCTCTAGTTAAATTGCATACAGATTCCTTTCAATTCTGAAAACCTTAACTGGGCCCCTCCTGTGTACCAGGCACTGTGCCAGGTACCACAGGAACACAGAGATGCGTAAGGCCCACCTCGGCTTCCAGAAATCTCACGGGGTAGCAAGGGGCATGGAATAAGAG